AATGTATATACTTCTCTTATACTTTGTTTTATATATGTGTAAAGTTTATGATAGTTTGCATCAATAAATAATTAATAGATAATATGTTTATTAAAGTATGTATGTTGATCCATTTTTCGAGTAAGCGCAACTGGGCACTTTTACTCTTTGATAGCTGGCGGTACTACAGGGTCCCACCCATCTCATTGAGTAATTTATGTATTGCCTATAAGCTTCATGATTATTCAGTGATTGATCTAAGATCTGCGTACCTCCCCGTGCGGAGAGTGATTACTCTAAGATTAGATAGTGGTAAGTAGGATAGCCTGTCAATTTTCGCAAATAACTTCAGGGCTCTGTCCCTTATGTATTTTTTTATCGGGTCTATTCTATTAAAGTGTAACTACAATAAAATTTCCAAGACCTCGTACGCTTTCAGCTGCAACCAATAAACTTTCCACATCTACTTTTATTACTGGTGTCAACTACTGCCATGTCATTCCACTCCATTGGAATCTTTGTGTTTTATACATAAAGATGAACAATTAGGCTAGCTATTTAAAAGAGAAATTCTAACGAAGCTTAAAGAACCTGTTTGAGGTATAAAATACATACTTTAAGTATTTTTCCTAGAATAGAGAAGAACTTTTAAATACAACATTTAGAAGAATATTTCTAAAGAGGTGTAGATTTACCAAAACTACTATAATTAGAAACACTCAGAAAAATAATTTGGTTGATTTAACCAGATTTTAATTTAATCTCAGGTCAAAATATTCTTACTCGACGCATCATCTTGGCTCAACCATACCACATACTGGTTTTTAAATCTTCTTTACCATATGAGCTAAAGTATGAATGTGTTGTTGTAGCATATATCTCTCATTGAAGAATATCAATTTCATAATACTGAATTGCTGTTGTTACATTTTTATATATAGATCGTTCTCTATTGGGGCTTGAATTCTCCTTTTTTTTATATCACTTTTTTTTTTAAAAGAAAAATAAATTTTGTTAAAATGAATATTATTGCTGAATTTTATTTCAGTATATCAATATTTATTATATTGGATAGAACTTTGAAAAATATTTTGCATTGTGTAGATACGAACACAATAGATATTAATTCTGAATTAATTAACTGACGTATTTTTAAATTTAGAAATTTCCAAAGTAAAAGTCTTGAAGCTATTAAATTGATACAAATAAAGAAAACTAAAGTAAATCCATCTTAACTCTTTCAAAAATTTTCTGTACGAGTATGTGCAATTCATCTTAATTCAATGCTGTAACTTATATGTTTCCAGGAACTCATTAAACTTATGGCTTTGCCTGCAATAAGGAAAGACAAAAATAACAGAAAAATAAAGCGAAATTTATTAAATATGTCCTTTGCTTAAAGCTATAACACACTTCTTTATCTGAACTTCGGTAGTCTCGCGTGTATACTTTGCCGCAGTTAGTTGCAAATATTTATCTATACAATACACGTGTGTGCATACTTTTGTAAGTCGACACCATACCCTAAATACGGATATGCTTACATAGTGTTCATACCCGAAGCGGCGTTAGCAGTGCATGTTTGCGAAGGAGTGATCCCAACTATAGGGTAAATCGCACGTTTTACTAAGAAAGTTTTAGCGTTTTATTGATTACATTGATTTTACTGGATGTGCCTCAACAATGTTTGTTGTGGTGGCAGCCGTGGGAAAAGTATAAATGCTTTATATGTGCTAAATAATTTTGTGCTCAATTTTTCAAATCATATGTACTCGTACATATACTCGTATGTGAGCTTAGATATGTTTATATATCTGTATATCTCTATATCTGTATATCTGTATATATGAAGATATGCAGCAATTACAAGCACCTACATTGGTAGGTAGGTAGCAAGTCCTACACGCGTATGGATTGCTCCTCGTTAGCAGTAAAACCCGCCATTGCAACAAATTGCTCGTTTAAGTGTTGCTGCGAATTTATCGATTTAATTGGTGGAAATATTTATGCACTGCAAAATGCGAATTTGCTTTTATGCATTTTTATTAAAATTAATTTTTGTACTTCTAAAATGCAACATTTTTGAGTTATGTTAAAAGTTTTCATATTCTGATGCATTTGCAATTTTATTTCCCCCAGCAAATTCAAAAACTTTTGCAATTGCTGTAAATTTTCTAAATGAAGCAATTTTGCTATTCTTTGCAGTTCTTGTAGAATTATGAATTATGTATAGAAAGGACTCAAAAATACGTGCAATTTAACTAAACTCAGTGAATAGAATTGTTGAAAGCTTTGCAGTTAATTAGAAAACCGAACCCAATCGGTGCTGTTCTGATGAATTCCATAACGATAGCGATAACGATAAGGATAACTTTTGATTGAATCAAATCCCTTCAACTTTAGCCAATGCCAAAACACTTTGAGTTTGACTAACAATTTAAAAACTCTGACGAAAAGCACGTTTGATCAGTATAAACGCTTAAGAATTTCTTGATTTGATGTGAATTTCATCGTGAATATTTATTAAATTTGATATGAATTCCCGTTTTGACTTTATTTGTATATTATTAAAGAGTAGACGTGAAAATTGCCCAACAGCCGGTACTGCGGCCAGAAGAGTCCTATTGTACCAGTTTCACTATTGATTAAACAAAGTCCCTTAAAGTTTTGTGAATAAAGTCTAGAACTAAATCTAGAGAAGAGTTCTTAATTTGCTCTAATGACAGAAATTCTTTATGAAACAGGTTTCTTTTGTGCGTTATTAAAGCTGGACAGTCACAAAGAATGTGCATGGTCGTTTCCTCATCTTCGAGGCATAACCTGCAATCCTAGGTAGCAGATAATTGTAGTTTATGAAGGTTATATTTCAGCCCATAATGACCTGTAATAAAACCCGTTATCATTTTGAGAATTTAAGAATGTGTTTGTAGGAGTACGGTGTTATCAGTGCTTTGCTTTGTCTGAGTCCTGGAAAGTTTACACAGTACTCCAGCCGCATATAATTTTCCATTTCCTTGATAATCTGTTTTGTACTGGCCCAGTTTATTCCACAAAAGGGTTGAGGGCCTATAAAAGCAGTTTTTGATGCAGTTCTGGCTAGCTCATTAGCTTTTTTATTTCCCAAAACTCCCCTGTGGCCCGGAACCCAGTAAAGGCTCAACTTATTCCGAGCTGCAAGTGATTGCAGAAGCTCGTAACACTCTAGGACCTGTTTTGATTTGAAAGTCCAAGAAGAAAGAGCTTTAAGAGCAGCCTGGCTGTCAGAGTAAATTATTTGTATATAATATTAATATAATAGTTTTAAAGTTATTATTCACACCAATAGCAACACTTGGTACTCCATATGGTATACGTACTCATTGTTTACATTTAATTTTTTTAAAACTCAAAAAATATTGCACTAATTTATTCACGCTTATATTACCTTGATTAAAGAAAGTAGCTGGTGAGGTTTACAGGTACTTGAAGCATTGTTTGTAAGAAATAATCAAAATTTTAAAGAACTACGCGTCTGTTAACGTATTTCGATGCTATTTTAACAATTTAGAGGAATTACTAAAATAACATCCTTTAATAGGGAATACCAGAAAAAAAAGCAAATAGAAGGAGTAGTGTTTCTGGAGTTGACAAATAAGTGAAGTGACGGACGAATTATTTGGTTCAGCTTCCTGTTCTTAGCATTGAGATTTTCATTTCTGAATAGTGGTTAGAGGTGATGAAGAATTTTAGTACAGTTAATTCTTTTCAGTTGAACATGTTTAAGCCATGTGAATCGTTTGTCCAGCGTAATACCAAGATATTTAACGCTATCCTCCCAGTGTATTACCATATCACTTTTATTTCATTATTGAATTTTATTTTCCATTTCTGGAAATAGTCCAAAATGAGGTTTATATGCTCTTGAAGTGTGTTGGGTATGTTGAGAGCAGTGAAAATAAATGTGATAAGATATCATTTCAGGAAAGTTAATAATTCAATTTACAACTACAAGTTTAAATAGATGGTTCTATTCTACCATCTACCTGCTTTATAAACCTAAAGACATACAAAACCACACATTTCAGTACCTACACTTCAATGATTCAGGAGGAAGTTCTTGTCAGCTTTAAGTTTACTCTTTTATTGCGCACTGTGACCTTAATAAAAAGGAGATTCATATAACTTAAAATACTTTGAAGAACGCAACACTGACGAGCTACATACTTTCAGTTTTTTAGTAATAAAGATCCTTTATCAGTCATGAAAAAATATGATTCCCGAATATATAATATTCTGTAGCAGGTTAAAATGGATTGGTTAAATCTTGATATAGTGGTCAAAGCAAAGACGACATAGTGTTATCCATACTTTAAGTCTAAAATCTTAGATTTGATATAAAATGGAACTTGCAAAAGTAATATCAAATCTCGTTAGCTACAGACTATAGGTTGACATGCAGTCTGTCATGGAAAATCAATAGATTATATTCATGTAACTTAGTAAGAAACACTTGAATGTTCACTATATTGTTCATGTGCACAATTCTTCAATGGACATCTCGTTTTCTAAAGAGTAGAAAGTAATTATGTACTTACGTTCATGGGCGTAGCCAGAAGCAGGTTAAACGGTCAATGATGATATATAAATGATAGAAATAGATATTTTTTAACGTGAATTCTTTAGTTCCCCCCATTAGCTTAGTACACTCTCAAAATGCTACTGTGCTATTTTAAGATTATTAATAGACTACAACAATTTAAACTAATCAATTTTTTGAAAATCTATAATGAAACACAATGAGGGCTATTAGAAAGACATAGTCTTTAACTAGCTGTGTCCCATCATTTATTAGATATTTTAATCCTTTTAAAAAGATAATTACGACAGTAAAATTCGGTTTTTGTTTTTTGTAATTTAAAATAACTTTTTTTATTTAATAATAAAACAAAATAATGAACGCTTACATTTTAGTTTTACTTAATTTATGAGTTTTTATTCTTTAAAAAGAGTAGAGTGAGCGGATGATAATTTTTCATATTACAAAAAAATTTACTAAATATATTTTAAATTGAAGTACAAATAAATTTTTACATTATAATAAATATCAACAACAACATTTCTGCAATTTACATATGGCGTGTATTACCGAAACCACCATGGCCTGATTGTGAAGCACCCTTGTTGAAGCCCATTTGAAGATTGAGTTGGCCTTCATGTGCGCGTAGTTGTTCTTCAGTGAATTCACGTTCATTCTTATCAGACATTTTTGGTCCCAAACTTGGACCAGTGAATTCAGGATGTTTTTGTGTCTAATGAGTATAAAAAAATTATAATTATAATTTAAATTACTAATCACAAAATAAAGATTTTAATGCAAAACTTACAATACGCCCCAAAGCATAGAGTGATAATGTTACTTGGGGAATATTACGGCGTTCGAAGAGATCAGCTGTTTGGAAAATTTCTTCTTCTGGTACACCGTACTTCTTAACTGCAGCTTGGAAACGTTGAATGTTTTCCATCAGCTGAAAATTAGTACCACGTTCTTGAATTTTCTTGACTGAACCAGGTGCTAATTTATTGATCAATTTGCACAACCAAATTCCATCCTTAAGAATATCTTCATACTGTCCTGCTGGTACTTTTTCGCCTAAAACAGCAAAGATCCAGTTAAGTACTTCGGCTTCTTGTTCCTTATTACGTGGCTTTAAGTAAAATTTTATTTTGAAACATTTATGTCATATAAAGCATTCATCATTATATAATATATATATATGTATACATATATAACTTTCGTAGATACATTATATTTTTGGCAATATTTAAAAAACATTTTAGTACTATGTTACAAAGGCTACTATTTTAAAATGTAACAGAAATAATTATAATTTTTTCATAATTAAACGAAATCATTTATCATTTTACAAAATGATTGCACAATTAAAATAACAAATAATAAAATTTCATATAAATTGCTGTATATAAATATTTTATAATTTTGGCACATTGAGTTTCATCTTAATTGCTCTTTAATTGCAAATTAGCATTTATGAATTTATAAAATATTTGAAATTTATTTTTTAAGCCAATTGGATGACAATTTGATGAAAATATTTTTATTTTTAAGTGGCATTTTATGATAATTCAAAATCTATATAAATTTAGAAATATATAGAAATATATATATATATATTAGAAATATATATATATAAATATATAATTTATCATATTTGCTTTTTTATTATAATCTGATATAGAATTAATTACATTCTAAAAATAAAAGTTTCTAGTTTAAATTTTTGTTTAATAAGCATTAATATAAGCTTATGGAAGAGTTCTTAATATAACAGTTCGATAATTGAGTCAATATAATATTGTTAATTAAAATTAAAAGGCAATAGATAATAAATTTTAGTGATACAAGGACACGGAGTTTACTGTTTAATTTTCTGGTCAGTGATATCATAAATCTATACTTTAGTATACTTTCAACTGATCTTTGCTATGATTTTCAAACAAATCTCAGAAAATTTGAAAAAATTTACATAAAGTGGATTTTATATATACAATTTATATATATAACTTAGCAAATTACAAATTTGATATTCTATAATATATGGATTGTTTAATAACCACTGAGTGTTTTGAAAACTACAAATATGATGCTGATTTATCTCATCGAATTTCTTCACCCATGAGGTTTTAATTTTAGTAAAACAAAATTGTCTCGACTTGACTTATTTTTGCTTAGTGAAAATATCATCAAACAAAATTATTGGCTGAACGGTAGTGAAAACTCACAAGTAACTGCCGAATACGAATTCCATTCCGGTCTGTAATTGTAATTTCGGTCGGTCTGTAATTGCAGCATTGATTAAGTGATATAAACCATCAGGTCTTAACACTACAACCATCTGATTTTCAAATTTTATTGACTAGACTACCATTGGCATTGTTGCACGAGAAAGTTCCTGGACGTGTAATATCACGATTTGTTGATCTTAATGAGTCACTAAGATTATTCACTTCTCACAATTGCATTTTGTTGAAGAGTTACGTTAAGGATTGTATTTAGGGGAACAGTTCTAGGACTCCTGAGGCTTTGAAACAGAATATCCGTCATATTATGGGCAAAGCTATAACCTACTAAATGCAGACAATTTATCGACAATTTTCTCAAGCTTATTTAGTGTTGTAAGATATCCCGTGGATAATGTTTAGCCTTTGTTGTAATTGATGCTTAATGGCTTGGTCAAAAATTATACACTGAAGTAAAAATCGTTCTAAAATCTAATCATAAGTATCTATCACTCACATTTATTTTTATTTTAAAATAAATAATCCTATATACATTATATCGTCTAAATTTCTACATACAGTTCAAGTGCAAGTAGAAGAATGATTACAAGAAGTTGCGGCCAGTGCCAGAAATACTATGATAAAATATGTATTAAATTTGAAATATTTATATTGATTTGATAAATTATTTACATAATTTATTTCAATCATTGAACTTCTTTGACATTCAACTAACCCTGAATATATTTTTCTTAACATATTTACAATTTTTATTTTATAAATTTGAACTATTTATTTTTATAGCCCACATTCAAATTTGTTAATTTTTATATTGAATTTTGGCAAAGTACCAAAAAGACGCCTAATTTATACTTTAAACAGCGTAACAGTCAAACACCCACTAATATATATGTACAAATGGAAATTTACATTCCAAACTTTTTGAACTGATATTTATTTTTACAAGTATATTGCATTTAATCTTTACAATATTAATTGAATTTATTAAATTATAAAATTTTCAATGTGTTTGCTGCCTTGAAGATATCGCAAACCAAAACAAAAATATTCACATTAAATCATGTTTTTGCACTTGTGGGAGTTTAAAAAGAGCAGATAGAAGGTTCAATAATTCAGAAAGCCCTCAAGCACATGAAGACACAATTAAATGTATTTAATCAAAATTCAATTAAAAATATTATATTTCTGCCTTAACTATTTTAATTATGCTGAGCGCACCATTACTCCACTTATTTGACAGCCTGCGGCAAAGTTTCGTAATGCTTGAAATTTCATCAAAGTTTGCTAAGGGAAAATTTATGTCAAAGCTAAGTGAGGTTTTAATCATAATCATTTTCGCTTTCAATTGAGTTATGAAGAAATCGTCATTATAGGATGCAAATTTCACGCTATTAACAATTTTTTTTTTGTTTCGACTTAATGTAATTAATTTAGAGTGCTTATGTAGAAATTTTAGTACTTAAAAGTAAAAACTGTAAAAGTACATACTTCTTAAGTTGTTTTCTTTGTGTTAAATATTTTTAATTATATTCATAAATTGTTTGTAAAGTTAATATAACTAAATAATAACTGAATAATAGTTAAAAGCTAAATAACTTTTAATATCTTTTATTGCTATATAAACGGAAGACACACGGATGAAAATAGCGAAATATATTGGACTTGTCATACTGACAAAGAATATATGCGTATAGGTACATAAGGATTTATACATTCGCCGATAGTTTCTTAATTAGCTGCTTAACAAATTAAGTGAATAATATTGTCTGAGGTATTGTAACAATGATAAATATACGGTTTTACCTAAAATTTAATAAATTATACTGTTGTCAAAATGGCGAATGAAAATTAATAAACTTAAATGTAGACACGTCATTTTTAATTTAAATCGGAGTACATCTCCAACAATTTTACTAAATAACATTCCTATACTACAAGTAGATAATATAACGTACTTAGGTATTCACCTAGATAGATGACTAATTCGGCGCAAGCATCTTGAAGTCAAAAAAATTCAGATGAATTTCCAAGCCTCCAAGCATTGGCTCGTTAATAACAATTCCTCCCTGCGCCTAGAGTATAAAGAACTTTTACATCATAACATCAATATGGACTTGTGGTATCCAGCTATTTGATAAAGTTAGTGCTTTAAATATTGAAAATACCCAAAGAGTTCAGTCAAAAATACTGAGAACAATCACTGGTGCCCCATGGTATATTAGAAATGAAAGTATCCACCGATATCTACAAATTCCCTTAGTCAGCTGAATTTGACAATAGAAGAAAAAAATACAATAAAAGGCTGACAGAACTTGTTAACCCCTTAGCTAAGTATCTCGCACTTCTCTCTATTACTTCCTGCCTAAAAGGAGCTGACCGTCTGAAAAACCGCAGCTTTCTTTTTGGTGATCTGATAAAGTTGAATTGCTTTCTTAATAAACCACCTAACATTCACTCCAATGAAATTTAACCCATTGATCTAAATGAGGTTCGTGATATAAGGTTTACTTATTTTATTTTATACAATGTATAGTTAACATAAAAATTTGTAATATTATGTAATTAGTGATTTCAAAGGTTATTGTTAGTCACATTGTAAGAGAAGATAGAATAAAGTAATGTATAAGTATTTAAAAAAAACAAAAAAGAATTAAGTTTCTTTCATCAAAACGAACGTTAAAATTTAGTATCACAAATTCTATTTAAATTTTTATAACAAGTTAATGAAATTTGAATGAATTTCATTTATGTAAATTACCCGGAAAACGCCTTTTTTAAAAAGTTGGATTTCCCCGTTTTCGATATTTTTATATTTTTATTTAAAAAATAAAATTAAAAGAAAAAGTTATAATTTTGTCTTGATAACTTTAAACCAAAGTCGACAAATTCAGTAAATAAAAATTATAAAATATTTTGTTGTTTTTATCCTTAATTATTATTTTTAATAATTATAAAAAATTGATCAATTAGCCTGTGAAAACATTATGTTAAGAAACACTTATTAAATTAAGTTCCTTTTAGCACTTTGACTCACAAAATATACTCATTCCTTCACTGAAACATTTATTTAATTAAATTTATAAACTACTAAAATATACAACAGTTAAAGTGTCAACTAATAGCATCAGAAACGTAGATAAAATTAGAAACATGCTAGCTGTATGTAAATAATTTTTGTACAAAATATCTATATAAATACTTACAATGCTAACAGGATACAATGCTAAACATGAGCATGTATTTAATTTTTTGTTTCCTGAAAACAGGTGGTGTAAATTATAAAAAATTGGTTGTAGGGCATATTTGGTGTAAATTAAAATGAATGTAAGTCAAACTATTAACTGTTCTGACAATGCATTTCTTGTCGGCTACTTTCTACTTTCAGCTTAAGAAGTGAGTACTTGAATTTTCGAACATGAACTATGAATTTTATTATCAGTAATTTATCATTATTTAGTTAATATGAAGATTAAAAAAATCACGAAGATTTTTAAGATTGTGAGTGAAATTTTAATTTTAAAAATGTTTTTATTAAATTTATATTATTTTTATGCACGTATTCAAATTATTTTTAAAACGCTTTCAAAAAAAAAAAAATATGAATAAGTACTTATACTTTTCATACAAAATATTTGATTATAACTTAATCCATTATGGCTTATTTATGATATAAATATAAAAGCTTCTCAAGCGCTTAATGAAATGCATACCAACGTTGAAATATTCTGTATAAATATATTTCTATAATAGCTTAAGTGAATTTATATGAAAACAATTAATTTTAAAATGCATTTAAAATTTTTTTATTTATCGCATTTATTTAAAGAAATTTAAACATTTTTATGTTAAATATTCAAATATTTTTCACCAACAGCAATTCTTATTA